TGTACTTTAAACACAGAATTCACAACATGCATAGAGAAAGTGACCTGGAACAGGGCAGAACAAGGTCCAGTCCAGCCACAACAGCCCGCGGAATCCCCAAAGCCATCTGAGTCTAATTTTCCAGCTTCCCGCTTTGGCTAGCTGTAACAAAGACTCAGCATTTGTTCAGCACTGAGCAGAAAAGTGCTCCGCAAAACCCAGTTCGATTCCACTCCAAGACGGCAGCTGCTTTTAAATGGCTGTTGAGGTCACGATGCCTTGAAACCTTCTGCTAATCTTTCTGGCTCAAAGTCAGCCCATTGTTGCTAGGCTCTGCCCTGGGACCTGCAGCTTATTGCTTTCGCCACCCACTCGTCCAATATTTTCTTAGCAGTATCCTTTTCTAAGCAAACGTCAATCTGTAACGCCTTTGCAGGGAGTGGAGATAACAAAAGAAATAAAAATAAAAAAAAAATCAATAGCATTAAGCCTCTGTATAGAGCTTCTAATTTTCCCAACAAACGTTCAGAAAACAATAGTCTACCAGTTTGTTTCATTTTTATTTTTTTGGCTGGATGACTTCCCCTAAACTTGGAAAAATATAAATGAAGTAACAGCAATAAGATAAAATGTGTACTAAATCCGGTGGAGATACAGCAAAAGAAAAAAAGTCTATGCCCTTGATAAAAGACACAGAGACACCAGGGACACTCATAGGACAGCAGGGTATCAGATATGACTAATTCAGGGAGCATCTCTTTTATATTAAAAGTAAAAATAAGAGTTTATGCGTTTTCTCAATTCAAGAATATTTTAAATTCTAACGTCAGAACTGAAGTTCAGAGACCTGTCTCTAATACAAGAGTCTTTCATCACATGCAGGAGAATTGGGGTTGGTTATTACAAATGACTGTTTGTTTGTATTGCTGCTGTATCAAGGATACTGAATAGGAGATCCAGACCTGATGGTAGAAAGATTTTCAGAGGAAAAAATGAGGCTGCTGCTGCCCTGCACCATTTCTGCGTAAAGCAGGAGACAGCAATTGTTTGCAAAGAGAGAATGATGGGGAGTACAGGCAAGGACTTGGGCAATTCATCAGCCCAAGGCAGAAATAGAGTTCTGGTCCTGCAGGCCAGGAAGATCCTCAAAGAGAAAACCAAAGAGCTCATGTCTGCAGCGTGAAGTCACGGAAAGGGGTGCAAAAGGACAAATGGCACAAGGAGCCTTGCAGGTTTGGAAAAAGTCATCTTTGCTGCGGCGCTCAGTACATCTGGTTAGCCAGATATTTCCTGCTGAGCTACAAACGTCACTGTTCCTCCTCCCGCCACAACTGCTCAAGAGGAGAAAATACGAGACCTGCTGCATTCGTGACTGCCAACATCCATGCTCTTGAACTGGGTATGACCTTTGTTCAGAAATGGTTGCCAAGTGACAATCTTACATATTAAGATTTGTTTTAGCAACATCATAATAAAGGTTTTGCTCAATAGTTTTTGAAACCGAAGTTTAAAACTCAAGGCAAATATGATCTTTCAGTAGAAGAAGTTAATACTAGGGAGAAAAGCAAAGAGTAAACACTTCATGTGTGAAAAAACAATGAATTAAAGTGACCGCTTATAGGGTTCTTTCATTTGAAATAGCTTGTGATGATTTTTATTTAACTACACATACGACATTAACACCAGGAAGCAAACACCCCACAACAAACAAATGTAAAACTTTATTAAAAGATACCAGTTTTCAAAGCAGAAACTGGACATTACATTGTAGAATCTGAACAAGCATCTGCTGGACCAGATCAAGCTCTCCCCTTGAGAGGGTTGCCTGCTTACTGCAAATCACCCCAAAATTAAAGGGAAAACAAATGAGCACAGTTCAAAGTGCATTTCCAGCTCATTAGTTGGGCTGGAAAACAAAACAAAACAAAACCAACCAACAAACAAAAAATACCAACACTTAAAAAAAAAAAAACTTTCCAAAAACCTAAGGTCAGAAATCTAACTCAAGGAATAACAAGTGAAGACTTTATGACATCTCCAGTCTTACTGACAAGGGTAACAGCAAAGATGCATGCAAGGAACTTGTTCCTATCCTGTTTTTCCTGATCATTCAAACTTCTGCCTGTCTGGAGCAATCCGCCCAATGCTCCAAACCTCTTCTGCTACAACATTTGTACCAGTGCCACAGTGAAAAGATGCTATTGTGAAAACCATAGATGCGCTCATCTTCGTTTGTTCCAAGACTGGAGTTCTGCGGGGTCCAGAAAACACATCAGGTCATCAGATCAACACACTAAATCTTTCCTTTTACTTAGAAAGACAAAAATAATCTCGACTTTTTAATGAGCTCACACAACACAAGACATTTCAGACTCAGGAAAGTATCTCATTTCTGCTGGCGAAATGCATTGCAGCAGAAGTTGGATTGGGTTGCACTTGGATGGGCTCTGGTGCTACATGCCGAATCCAACTCCGTCACACAGAGGGAGCATCTAAAGTCACAGATATTTGGTAGCAACGTCCTGTATCCAGCTCGCTCTCTCTGTATTTGGATGGTGCAGAGGCACCACTGTATTTGATGCCAACTTTAAATTTAAACACAGAAGAAGGAAAATTACTTCTGTAAAATCAGAGGATGGACCTCCTGTGCAAGAGGTCCCAGCTGCCACAGAAAGCGTGTAATCAATTTTCATGATTTTCATTTTAAAAATTGGCTTGATTTTTTTTTTTTTTCCTCATGTGTCCTCACTATTTCTACTGGAAGGGATTTCCAGTGTCTGTCTATTTATACCCATTTCTTCTCGTGCCAACATTGTCTCTTCTCTTAAATAACTTTCCTCTGCCTGCTGCTTGCCTCCTTGATGCACTCACAGGCAGCTGTCAGATCTCCCCTCAGACTTCTCTCCTTAGGCAAAATAAGTCAATCCCATTTAATGACCTCTTGGGAGAGAGTCCCTATTCCCTGGATTCTTTGTACCCTCTCCCCACAACGAGCTCCTCTTTTGGGATGTGGTGATGAGCATCAGTACCCCACATGCTCTCCCCAGTGCCCTGCCTGGGGTCCTCACAAGCTCCCTCTTCCTCTAGAAGCTTTCTTCCCCCAACATGATTTGAGGTCACATCACAACCTGAGGGCTCAGAAGAAAGGTCACTGGTTCTTTCTTCACTTTCACCCCTGCCAGTAACAAAACAATCACTGCTTAATAATGCAATGATTAATCATAGCCATTGTGTCACACACAGACTTTTGAGAAAATGTTATGTGTATCAGGTCACAGCATATTGCTACATTAAGCTTTGCAGCTCTTCCATTTTCACATCAACAACAGCAAACAAGGCCATTCCTTTTTCTTCCACAGTTTAAAGGACCAGTTTGAGTCCCAAACATGAGCAAATTATATACACGTATTCATTGGTTAAGGAAAGATAGAGGAAGGTAAGAGAACAGTTTCCTCTTCACAGCTTGGCAAAAGCAATTAATTCCTTTTATTGTTATCATTGCTGCCTCTCTCTTTTCCTCAACACCTTATCAAAACATACTGCACAGGCAGATTAAATATCTGCTTTCTCCTTCTACTAAAGTCAGTGGTGAAACTCCCATTGACTTCATGTTATAGGAAAGATTAACATGGGCAAAAATCTGCTGAAATAAAAAGAATATCATTGACAACCCAGTTTAACAGAACCCCCTTATCCAAGACAAAATGAATTAGAAAGGTTTTTGAAAGCTACAGATAGAAGTTAGCTGCAGGAAGAAGAGGGGGAGTGAAGCTAATAGGCAGGAAAACACAGCTGAGAAGTCTTGCTGCAAAGCAGCAGCTCACAGTCTGCCTGGGTTGTTCACGGTCCTTACACACATGGTGCAAATCTCTATTTGCACACTCCTAATTTACACATTTACAGTTATTCTTTGCTGCTAGTAAGCACACATTGTCCTAAAAAAAAAGGATGATTTAGACATTGTCTTTGGACTATACCTTCCCCCAGAGTTCCTGACACACATCTCAGCAGGCCCCCTTTGCAAACATAAGGGATTGTAGAATAAGAAGATCTCACAGGAAAAGTCTAACCAGCTAAAAGAGAAAGTGTGTTAGGACTAAAAAATACCTGGCTTGTGTCAGAACCTGTTCATGATAAGAAGAAACATTTTTTAATGAAATCTAAGTATGGCCCTTGCAGATGTGGAAAGAATGTAACAGGAAGATATTTTCAATTCCCACTTGGCTACAAGAATCAGGTTTTGCAGCCAGGTTGTTTTTTCTTTTTTAATCCCCCCTCTCCCTCTGTGCTGTTTCCCTCTGACTTGGGGTGGGAGGCACAAATGCCCCCTGCTTGAGTTGTTGCAGGCTGAGGAGCAAAACCAACTTCACTGCTGTACAACCTGGCTGTCAGGGCATGTACAAAGGCAAAGGAAGTCTGCAACTCAGTGACTGATTCTTCTGCTGATTTGGAATTTCTGATAATGCAGGAATTGCAGCGACAACAGAATTCCATGCACATAGGCTTCTTCCCAAAACCAACCTCGCTTACTTGTCCTTCTTGCTTGAATTCATGCTAAAATCAGGCAACGTGGAGATTTCAGGTTGTGGTGTTTGATTTCTTTTACTTATATGCCTCATTGTGGGTGGCATTTCCCTCCCCTCTTTCCTTTTTCTTTTCCAGTGCAGAATAGAGTTATTTATGAGGGAGATAAAGCAGAACATATTCTATAAAAGAGCTTGTTTGGCCTGAATGCCATGTTCTGATAAGTGTCCTATGTGAACGAGACATGAGGTTAAGACTTGAACTGGAACAAACTATTTTTGTACACATGAAGTGGATAGTAAGATACTGGTGCTTGGTGGAGACAGGGTTAAGGTTCTCAGGCAGCTTTATTTGACTTTGAAGAAAGATTTTTTTTAAAAGAAGGAGTCAGCATTTCACACAAGATAAAGGACACCTTCACCTCTTGATGGTTAAAAAGTCCAACACAAAATACCAGCTTGTACTTAAAATCCCTGCAAATGTTTTGGGTGGGAAAATTCTGTGGAAATTTGGGTTGAGTTGGGTTACATTTTTTCCTTACAATGACTTTAGTACAATCCAAATTTCCAGACCAAACAACATTTTTTTCCCCCTGAAGATTTTTCATCATACGGTGACAATTTGCAATGTGTTATTTCAATTAATTGTCAACTATTTCCAGATCTCTGACCAGATTACTGTATATAAAACCGTCAGTGCTAGTCAATTTGCTTTTCTTTCCTCTCATTTATTTTCCAAGACAAGAACTGTTGGGTGACCATCTGCTTCTTATTTCAAACCTGTCTATTTTTGTTAATACCTGATGTCTCATGTCTCATGCGAAAACTCAATTAAAGATTGATAAGCAGATTATTTTGTTTTGACATGGGTCTTCTATTCCAAGCAGCAATGGTTTACAATTCCAAATTACTTTTCTGTTGCAGATTTCTTAAAGGACTATTTAAATTTTGTTTTAGACCCATGTGTGGCAACCATTTCCAAATATGCTTGGCTTTATGCATTTGAGTTACCTTATAAAAGGAAATAGAGACATTTGTGTGCTAAAATATGAACATTTATGGAACAGGAACATGAGGAAATGTAAAGCCAGGGCTCCATCCATTCTTTCCTACTGGTTTCCATATTAACTCTACTCAGTTTTCAGACCGAAATAGTTTTATTTGTCTGATGACCAATGCCATTATATCACTGTTAGTATGAAGCTGGGTCCTTTCCACTCTTTTGCCTTTAATACAGATGCTGTCACTTAGAAAGCTTCAGGTGGAGCATCCCATAACAACCTCACCAGATCTTGAAGTAATGGTTATTCTTTGGGTTGTATTGACTACTTGTCCCCAGGTACAATAAAGCAGCTTTAAGCCCTCCCCATGAATGCTTTCTGAAGTGGCAATGGGGTAGATGAAGCTCAGGTGTTGCTTAAAACCAGATTTGCTTTTAGATCTCTTCTCCTTTCTGTAAAACATTTGATATTACAATTGTCCCACCTAATTGCTGTGACCAAGGTGCAATACTTGTGTTAAGAACAGTCTTTTTAGGGTTTCAGGTAGCTGGGAAGAAATTAACTTCCCTGAAGAATCATTCAGTCTGCCTAAAACACAAATAATTCACTGCATCTCTCTTTTTTCTGTCTTAACAGACAAACCTAATATCTGATATTAGGGAGGATGAATCTCAGCCAGAAACTTCTACTCAGAGATTCAGGTGGGAAGGTGCTCTAATCTCCTCCTCAATTAACAGAGCAGTTGATTATACATTTTTTTTCCTCCCATCTACACTAGACACACCATCACATGTGAGCGAAATCCCTATTTTTTTTTTCTCTGTTTTCCTTACTCTATTCTACATTTTTTTTTTTTGTCTTTTCATAAAATCTGTCACCAATGACTATTTTTTTTTTCTCTGTAATGGAAATATTAAGAATGATTGGTTAAGAAAAACCCAAATCCTAAATCATTAAGCAATAATTCTGAGAGATTATCTTACTGAGTAATATGCATTTTTATAGCCGACATTTTGACAGGACATATTTCACTTAGAAAACCATCATTTTTTCTCCCTTAGGTTATAAGGCACTTAATTCATTTTTTGAAGGAAGGAGGAAACAGCTGTGGCTAAAGCACACTTTTTCCATCTGTCATTTTTTCTTTATTTTCTCTTTTTGTGCATGCAGCACTCTCAGAGTGAAAGCATTAGTAGCGGTGCCAATATTAGAAGTTAAAGAATGTAAACTTGAACAGTTTTGGTCAAGGTTTGAGAGGAGTTTTTTTTTTTTTTCCTTCCTTTTTTTTTTTTTTTTCTCCCCATGTTCTCTGGCTGTGCTGGAGGCCATGGTTGCTTGTTCAAAGTCATGGTGAAGAGGCAGGTGCTGAGATGTGCTGGGCACTGCCAGACCCAGCCATCCCCGGGTCCTGACTTTTCACCCAGCCCTAAGCTAAGCTATAGGCAATGTCCTCAGCTGCTGTCATTTAATCAAAGCAGCTACCTGGGGAAATAGGCTGATGATTTGTCTTTGGTTGAGAATATATCCAAGAATCATCCTTGTTTACTTAAATGTGAGTTTTCCCTAATTGTCCTTATTAAAACATGACTTTCTCTGTCAGCCACCTTCAGTTACTCGCCTCTCTTATGCTCAGTAATAAACCTTAGCTCCATTTTCAGGAATCACCATTTTGATCCTCACTCTGTTGCCTGTGAAAATGTCCAATTAAATGTTCTTCTTCAGAAGTCTCAGGATGCTGGATAATTAAAAAATATGGGAAGATCTAAAAAAAAAAAAAAAAAAAAAAAAGAGCTTGGTACCATCTCCCTCGTTGTTTGTTAGACTGGTTTAAATGCAAAAATTTGACAGGTAACAATTCATAGTATTGAGGAAAATACTTGCTATTCTAACTCCACTCACTCATTTCACAGAAGGAGAGTAAATTATAAAAGTGACAATATGGAGAGACAGCTCTCTTTTGGAGTAAATTATGGGTGGAAATTTCAAGTGATTTGGTTTCATTTTTACCCTTAATTCCATCTGTCTACACTAGGAACCAAGCTGACGAAGCCAGTGCCTGAATGTAAAGACAAGACCTGCTCTCTTCTGCTGGGCAGAGAGGGGTTATGAACTACAGAGCAGCTAGGTGAAATATCACGCAATAAAAAACGGTGATTATTTGGGTTAAAAAAGGAGCAGATAATCCCACAGTTATTGTTCACTCTTGTGCCAGCTAAAACTGGATTGGCACCTATCCCAAAAAAGCTAGCGTGTATTTTCATTCTCTGATTTTCGTTTTCTTCTTCCTTTAAAAAACTGTCCCTGTAAAGTCAGCCAGGATTTAAACAAATACATCTATAGCATGACAATACCCCCATTAAAAAAATAATTAGGAACAGGGCCTGAAACAACTATCTAAAGACACTGGAAAACATAAATCAGCCCAAGTATTTGAATAACAGCAAGGTGATGATGGAGACAACATGAGGTGGTCTTGCTTGAGAACCAAGCACTTTGTTTTGATACAGAGAGCATCAAACGGAGCAGAGCAAGGTCCATGTGCTCTGCTGTGTTCTCAGGCCAATCCATCTTTAAGAAAACTGTCAGAAAGGGCAAACGGGCAGTATAATTCTTCCCACTAGTGATGTTGTTTTGTGGGAGCGGAGCAGCTTTTAACTGACAAAGACAGATCTAACCTCTGAAATCAAGACCCCTTATCATTTTTTTTTTTCATGAAAAACACTGATTTTCTATTAAAGCTTTTTTTTTTCCCTCTTTTAGCTTTGAAGCTGTTTGAATGCTATTATTTCACAGATGCTTGCATCTCTTGTATGGATCCCTACAGAATTTTTATTGACGTAGAAAAAGATTGCCTCATGTTCTTTTTTATCATTTGCTGTCAAACTTGCCAAAAAGTTTGACTCTACAATGCAGTGCAGTCAAAGGGAGTTTTTCAATGGGTTTGGATTTAGTTCCCAGTTTCCATCTCTATCAAACCATGTAGGTCTTTTCCACATACATTTCTCAGAGGCAAAGGACCACAGAGTGCATGCTGACGTGTCACTTCATCTGGAAAGCCTATGAAAACCCACGATTTGGTGGAGATGACAGCAAGACTCAGACTTGCAGGAACTGCCAGCCCACTGTACCCCTGCTTTGCTACTCACTCCTCTATCCAAAATGCTTCTCCTTGCTGGAGATGCCAGCACCCGGTGACTTTTCCATCCTTCTGCATGTGGTGCTGAGCTCCTGCCTGATGATGCACCGTTGGTGTCCATACTTTGGCCAGAAGCAAGTCCCAGACTGTCTTATCCATCTGTGACTTGTTCCCCAACGCATTCACTCACATTCTGCAAGCCCCAAGCAGGGTTTCCAGCTTCATCGCTGAGTCATTTGGACAGAGGACAACCCGACTAAAGGACCCTAGGTTTCAGTCCATCATCAATGACCTATGCTGCTCAGCACTACAAAGCCAGACTCGTGTTTAAGCCCAGCAGGCTACCAGCCCTAGTGTTGGTCATCGCATGCAGGGGTTTGCTCTTGGCTGGTTCTCTGATTCAGCACAGAGAAGGTTGCACAGATTTTCTTCCGTGCTGAATCACCACCTGTTCCTTGTTCTCTCAGCAGGAGCTGTGTCTGAGAAAGGATGTTCCTACACAAACTGCACAGGGCTCAGGGAACATGCATGAGTCACTGTTGTAGTTCATGATATCCTGCACTAATAGATGTTAATAATAGCTTTCAGAAATCTCTTACAAATACCGAGTCATTTCATGATATCTTTTTACTCTACTACTGAGTTTTAGTAACTATAGCAGGTTAAGAAGCTTAAAAACAGAAATAAGTTGATGTCCAGATTTGCCTTTAAAGTCTTGCTTCTGTTCATACATGTGTTTACCAAGATGAAATAAAGTACTGATTTTTTTTTTTGGTGGAAAATAGCAATAGAGTGCTATTGACATTGGCTCTGAAAATTAGATCTTCATTAGTAACAGGGAAAGCTGTTGCTTTTTCTATCATCATAAAGGCATGGAAGTCAGGAGAGATAAGACAAGGCGTATTTGGCAATGCATGGTATTACCACAGATCAATATTTTTCAGGCAAAATGTTTTTCTTCGTTGAAAAATTATCTGCTTTTGCACATACAATTTAGCGCATGAAAACAGATTTCAGGAACTTTTTCATGTTTTGCACATTAAATTTTAATGAACTTAAATTTATTTTTTTTTATTTTAAAGAAAAACATTTTTCAAATGTATCCTTCCTTACAAAGTCTGTTTGATTATAAATATGGACTGTTCTAAATGTTTCATTTTCAACAGGCAAAACACAAATACTTTAAAAAATTCAGGATTTTTCCTTCTTTGATGAGCATTATCTTGTTTGTGCACTTTTAAAATGCATGGAAGTGTGTCGTGAGATAAAGCCAGGAAAATGAGCATAGAAAAAGATTAAACGATGGGGCCAACAATAGCTAGAAACAGCCATGGATGACAGTCCAGCTAATGTAAAATTGAATGTGTTTGACTGTGTCTAATCGTGATGAGGATTCCTGGACTAGAAAATATCATCCTTAAACCAAGGTTTAAGGTTTGCAAAGTTGTAAAAAACCTGAAAATGCGTCTTTGAATGGAAAGGTTTAGTCAGCTTCAGAAACAGTTCTTTTATAATGCATGGAAAATTGCTAATCTTACCAAGTGTGTCACCAAACCAGTGTTAAGGACTGAATGGAAAAACTTTTGCAGTCATTTCTGTGAAATGTCATGTAATTCACAAGAAAAGGAGAAAAACAAGAGCGTTATTTCTGTTTTTTCTTGCACGGTCTGGTAGTTTGACTTGGTAGCTTGTAATCAGGAGTCTGGGCTCCAGTGACGCCTCTCAGGAAAATCCTTCAGGTACCAGGAAAATCTTGTTGATGGGGAAAGAGCTTTGGCAGGATACCCCGCATGACCCTGGAGTCAGGTTCCCTAGCTTGAGCAGTTACTATTTCCTGTACGTAAAATCAGAAATTAAATGTACTAATTACTACGGTCTCTCTTCTTAACACATCTGTATGAATATGGTAAGTACATTTTATATTAATCTGATTAACAGACTTTTTCCCCCCACTATTTTATCTCAAAAAATGCCTTGCAACCCATTGTTTTGCTACTTAACAACTCTATGCTGTCACTTTGAGGCCAAATGCAAATGTAAAACAGATCGTTTCCATTTAACCAGTTTCTGAAAAAAAAAACACGCTTACTGTCTACATAACAGACTTCAATATTAATACATCATGCAGACAGAATGAAAAAGAGCAAAGCAGGGATCCTACATCACAGAAATGTAACTAATGCAGAGATAGAGTAAATACCACTGTCAAAGAAAATTCATTAGCTAATCTTATCTAAAGAGCATATCTAAATGTGTCAGGCGATAAAAAGCTAGACCAGCTCAAACCTGCTCTCTCCAAGATGCCTGCCTATTTGAGCCACGGAAAGAATGAAAACGCATATACTGTATTACATATCACTCACTCCTTGCTTAGAGCACTTTAAGCAGCAAAAGCAACAGTTTGGAGCTGACAAAAGTCTTATTAAGCACATGGCTGCTGAGACACTAAAACGTGCTACCAACCCTACTGCTTTTGCTCTATGATGCTTTCAGGTAGGTGAGCAGTGTCTTACACAGGGGCTCCCTAGAGTAAAAAAAAATACTGTGAAACGCTTTGATATTCAACACATGTAGAAGCTATGGCCTTGGTGCTGCTCTCATTTCTAGCCCTGGTAAGGCACGCTTTTCTTCTTCAGCTTACAGGTTAAGACAGAGGAGGGCTGTGCCTGGGGTCAGGGTGTACCCCAGGGACAGGTGCCTCGGTGCCCACTCCTCCACTGTGGCAGCGGGTGTTGTGCCATGGGATTAAAGGGAGAGCTGTCATGGCTCTGGTGCGAGGCCTGTTACAAGCTGTTGGACTGGAGAGGCAAGAAACGAGAACTGTGAACGCTCTGAAGCTTAGGGGATTCTGGGAATTAAATATCAGGGAATTATACCCTGTCCTTTGTGCCCAGTTCTCTTTAATCAAGAATGTCACCTTACAGGGCTGGCTTAAAGAAAGAACTAAAACAAATTAACATTTTTCCATTTAAGTTCTGGTAATCTTCCTAGATGCTTCCCTCTGGCTTCATCTTTTGTAACCGTCTCTCTACAATGCCTTATTTCCAACAGTTTCTGGGAAATACTCTTTCTTGCAGTCGGGTACCTACGCTATCCTTACACAACACCCCCTTCCACGTTCCTGAGTTCACAGACAGAACAGCTGTGCATCTTTATTACACATATGCTGCGTTCTGGCTTTGCTTGTTAGCCAGCAGACAGGAAAATTTTATTTTTAGGCAGATGTGAAAGCCCTAATTTGTTGCAGCGGGGAAGAGAGAGACTAATAATAGAATGCAATACAGCCAATGCCAAATTAATTAACAGAGACCAAAACAGGTTATAGTTTACAAGCCAAAGCTACTATTTTCCACTTCCCTCGCCTTCTCCTTCTCTCTGCAGTGTAGTAGAGCTAGAGTTGGAAGAGGGACATCCTATAGCACCTAGTCATTGCTGCAGGCATTTTGCTGTGCCTTTGAGTTTTTAAGGAGTTTGCCTTGACCTTACAATACTTCAGTGGACAAGACCAGCCGTAAACAATTTCTTCCACGGCCGCCCAGCCTGGCTCGAGCCTCTTGCTGCTGAACACATCTCAGCTTGTTGGCAGATGAATCAGCATGGCGGGAAGGGACAAGGAGGAGGAGGAAACGTCAGAGCCTTGGAGAAGGTGCTGAGGCACAGCAGAGTCCCTGCTGCACCCGCGCGCATCCACCTTCCCGGGCCCAGCCTCCCTCAGCAGGAGGCCGATGACCTGAAGGGAGACTGAGAATAGCTCCTGCCTCCCTTTTTACTCTCGGGTGACCACACGTGTTTGCTTGTCAGCTCTTTCCAACTAGGAGCAGGAGCCTATTTTAAGCCATCTCTTTCCTCACGCATACACTGTTGCCATAGCTGCAAAACTAATGCACATGGAAAGAAAGGTTCTTACTCTATTGACTCAGCAGAGAGGCATGTTACTGAATCTCTCTGTTTCTTAACTCATGTAAGTGAAAGATAGTGGGCCAGATCCTTCCCCAGCTGGTGCTAAAATGGCACAACTCTTTTGGCTTAGTGAGTCCCTATTAATTTGCAGCAGCTGACATACTAGCCCTTTGTTTTCCATTGCTATGCTTTCCAGAACTGTTCGTGGCATGCTGCAATTAATTCAGCTTCTCCTCTTGTATCCTCCCTTGAAAGATAGTCTGATGGAGATGGGAGAAAGCTGTATTCAGTCTCCTTCTGTCCACCTTCCATTTGTCTGAGGAGTCAGGGAGTGAATACATGCCCAGCATATGGTATCTCTCAGCCTTTAACTTGCATCAAATTTCCAGGGTCACAGACAGCAGTTTTGAGAATATTTAAGGTAAGCTTCAAATGCATTGGCACTGAGCTTTCATTCCAACCTGGCGATAGCATACACACTAACAGTGGCTTGCAATGATTTTGTTCATGTTTGCAAACTTTCAGCCAACTCTGATTCAAATGTAATTGCTAATATTTTGAAGCTGTTGCTTGCCAGGATGCTTGAAGAAGAAACCATCAATACACTTGAAACAAGCCCACTGCAGTTTGGCTAGAATTTTGCAAGGTTACTTTATTTAAATGCTTAAATTTTCCTGCCCATTCCTAATATTAAACAGAAAAGAAACAACTTTAATAAAAGGCATTTGGGTCTTCAGTTAATGTGAACTTGCACAACTCCTTTTTCTTTCAAGGTTGTTGTAGCTTTACAGTAAAGAAAGCATGAAGACCTACAAGGAGGTAGTAGTTTGGTATTTATAAGCTGCAAGAAGGTTTTATTACGTGACTTTTCTAGTTCATTGACTCAAAGTAACATAATGGCTGTTGAGTTGCCTTGTAGAAGGGACAGGTGTTTGGGCATCTCATCCTAAATATGAAGGACAGTAGTGCAATGCATGCCTTAATTAGGGCTAGGGAAAATATGGACACCTCCTTTGTCCATCCCATCCAGGAAGTGGAGAGAGAGCTGGGGAGAAAGACTAAGTCACTCACAGTGCTTCTAATGCTCAGTAAGCAGAGAGCACAGCTGTGGCTACTGGAAAAGAAATTTGTGATCTTCAGTGGGAACATCATATAGAGGAGTGAAGCTGGATGACTACTGCTGTGATCCAGCTCACTGGCTTCATCACAGCAATAGCCAAACATGAGAAGAGAGGAGAAAACGTCAAGTGATATGACTTCTGAAAATAAGACTGAGGCCAAAAAGATGGGAATAAAAGAGGGCTGAGCAAAGGCTGATCCTCTGCAGAGACAGGCTGGGGGCAGGACTGAGGGGAAAGAAGTTTCCCTGCATTTTGTCAGTTTTCGCTCCAACTTGCAACTGCTATGCTATTAATAAATTAAGGCTAGACAAGTGAATCATTTGCAAACCTGGGACTGACTCATAATGCCTGGCTAGTGGAGAGATGGACAGATTTTCTTCAGGAGCCAAATGAGACTACAGAATAAATGCTAGGAGTAATATATTGTATTTTGAGTCAATATAATGTAGTAGGTGACACTTTATTCACTGCTTACAGGTATCTTAGGAAGGTTGCCTCTTCATTAATGGTATATGCAAGTGTTGATGCAGAAGCAGTGGGAATTAATTCTGGCAAAATTGGCCCCAGATATTCAATGACTATTGGGAAGGGTATGCATCCCAACTGCTATAGGAATGAACTGCTGAAATACAAGTTGTATTTGACCAGAACTTTTAATATTCTGCTTTTTTCTTTATAAATATGTGGCAGTCAAGCAATCTGTAAGACCTATTGCATGTACCTTCAGGTACGAAGACTTAGCGGTGTCCCAGAATATAAGATTCAGACTGCTATCTCAACAGGTACTCTTTAAAAAGATGAATGATCTGCTGACCCAAATTCTAAGTTAATTTATGTACGCTTATATTTTGTTTATATTTCTGTGACTTATCTTTTTGTAGGGCTTTACTGTTTTGGACAGCAATACCCACTTCTGTTTGTGCAAAGAGCCTGTAAAACTTCAGCACCAGCACCATAGCTCAGTTTAGAGCTGTCAAACATCAAGATATAAATATTACCTCCTAGCTATTACTGTTTATAAAATAATCCAGTTCTTAAAAAAAAAAAAATCAAGCTCTACCATATAGTCATGTGGCTTCCTGCAACAGTTAATTCCAAAGGCTGCTTAAACATGTATGATATTTTCCCTTTGACATGCTTTAAATGTATTTGTCATTAATCTTGACCCTTTGACTGTTCCCTGAGGGACAATGAAGTGATCAGACAGCTGTGCCCCTCATAACTTTTAATACTTTAATTAAATCCCCTTTGGACCTTTTTCCTTTCTCTATTCTTTCTTTAGTCAGCCACCAAGAAAAACGACCACAATTTTAACATCTAAACACTGGAAACTATGAACATATAACAATGCAGAAATTTCTTATTTTTCAATTTACTTAATTATTTTTAAATTTAATTTCTGGAATGAATGAACGAGAGTTCTATTTTCTTCTGAAAATTCTTTTTGAAGTCACAGTGGTTTGGCCTCATGTGTATAACCATAAACAGAACTGTACAGTTTTGGACAGATACTTTCAAGAGTGAGTTCAAGTTCTGCCTCTTCCATAGTTTAACAAGACAATAGTCTTTATAAAACTTTTACCCACAGAAATGGTTGATCTGTCTTAAGAATGATCAATCTCGTTTAAAGGTAACAGACTTGGCTCACGCATAAAACAATCCCTATCATTTTACTATCCTATCCTCACGCCTTACATCCAAGTTTTGGTGTTTGGTATTTACTGGCATATATAGCAATTGCCGAAAATGTCAGTGAATTGGCAAATTATAAATATCACTGACAAAAAAAAAAGAATGATTTTCCACTGCCTCAAACTTTCCATGTTGAAAGTAAGTATCACTTTTGATTCCCTAATTTTTCTTAGAGGGATTAAAGAAATCAAGCAGGAAACAGCAACATTGCTAAATTACTTTGCATTATTCATTTTGTATTGTGTAAGAGGGAGCACATTATTAGATTTCAGTTTCACACTTTCCCCCTCTTCTCTGAGGATTATGGGAAAAGTCATAATTTCATTTCAGAGATTACTACTTGATTTGTACGTGCACAGGCAAATCTCAGCTCAGTAAAAGGAAATCTAGGATGTTTCTGTAAAAACTAGCCCAAGTAATGCAACCTTTTGACTAGTTTTGTCAAGTTACAACAAAATACCATCTGTTTACTCAGAAAACAATACAATTTTAAAGTTTTCCAGGGAACTTGGGCCAGTTTAGAACTTCACATTCCAATTGTGAGGCACCGTCAGTTGCTCAGGCTGGTGTGGAGAGGCATCGTACACAGAATGTACATAACCTTTAAGTCTACCAGAACTTAAAAATCTGAGGGAAGCTCAGCCACACACCCACAAGGAGTCAGTTTGTACTGAACCCCTTCAAAGAGGCTGCATTTGTGGCACATTGTCCACCCACACCTTTGGGAGGAAACCAAAATTTTTTGCAGTGTCCAAAGCAGGAAAACCTCTAAACACAGCTTAATGTTAAATTAAACCTGACAATAAACATGTGCGTAAGGTTAATTCTGGTGTGGAGTCTTGGTAGCTGATAAGTAGCTAAAATCACTTCTCTTTTGGTGTATGAGGGGGTTGTACCCTACAGTATGGAAGATCTCATCTCCAAAGAAGCTACAGGAGGAACTCTGGGCTCAGCAGCAGAAACACTTGAATGAAGAAGCAGTGGATGGAGCAGATTTAGACTAACACGACAGGGAGAAAAAGGGTGTCAGAGATAAAAGTGGCTTATAAAATAACTCGGAATGTCAGCACATGATTATGTTGTTTTCCCCTCAATCATTAGACTGCTATGTTGCAAAACACCCTGGAGCTTGAGACACTGCTAATGGGCAACAGCTTTTGGAATGCCATAAATGCTAAGTTTTACTGGACTGGAAATACAACATATTGTACAGTCAGAATACGGATGAGGAAAGATTTGGACACTTCCAGCTTGTAATAAAACAAGAGAGAAAGTGGATTAGTAGGATATGAAACTCATTAAAAAGGAAGAGCTGTAAAAGAAAGATTTGTGGGAAAACTGCATCCACAACACTAACAGCACCCACACTTGGTTCTTTTGTGCTGTTATTTACACCTGGACATAAGTAACCTAATCATCCCCCCTACACCTTTATCAAAAACAGCCTTACAACTTGTAAGACATTTACAGATAAGAACCTGACAGAGGATGGTACTGAACCTGGAAGCCACTCACTGGGAATACATCAGGTTTTGCTTCATGTTCTGCCGAGGTGCAAGACAAGCCTGTTAGCCTTTCAAGACAGCAGGATCTTCAAAACGTACGGCACGCAGCTGCTGTGCACACAATGCTGAGCCCAGGCTCGGATAACTACAGGCCTACGTGGCTTTTGGCTGAAGCAAGAAGTAGGATGAGCTTGTATCTGCCTTCCATAAATCACATCGACTTGCCCCAAGACTAATCATAATGGAATGAAAAGGTCTTTTACTTTAATAAAGTGGAGGGTGATTCCAAAGGTAAATTAGGAAGAGGTACATTATAGAGAATAAAAATTCCTTTCAAAGGTATTGGAAGACACTGAAAGGCTATAAAATCTAATTGGCAGCATTAGCTTTCTGTTCTTTGTTCTAAGAGTTTGCACTCAAGAGACAGACATGCAGTAACGATAGCTTTTACTTGCTAAGATACAGAATTGACCTGCTAGGTAAATATATTTGTTTAATGATTACATTTTCCTTTGCCAAATGAAGACACATAAAAGTGCAAGATTCAACAGCTTTTATATATATATTTTTTGCTTGAGCAGCACAATGGAAATTGTTTGTACTCTTTGCCAGAACAGTAAGGCTCCTCAACTTTGAATCTGGCAGGGATAGAGCCTAGTCCAAATCACTCTCCAGTGATTACTGGAAAAGAAATGCCAGCAATGTTTTTAAGCTTACAAGATGTCATGTACAGTACAGAGTGATCCTAAACAATTTTAACAACCTGATAGCTCTTCATGAATACTGGAAATTCTAAAAAGCCACCAGAATCAGATCTTCCCTGGAGGAGCACAGTTAAGTAAAGGAGTGGCTTGAGTGCAATATGTCGCTGCTTTAAAGTGGATGACTGATCACTGCTCGAGGTTGACAGAAGGATCATCACAGACTGCAGTGAATGTTGGGTCAAGGCTCAGATACAGCTTGATTACAACCTCTTAATTAGGCCTTGCCTGTAGCATCTGCAAACTTTGCAGTAAGCTATATGATTCAGTACCAGACTCAAAGACACTGGCTACAGCCCTTGGTATGTCATTAGGCAGATCTGAAAAAGTTTAGGAGAAAAC